GAGAAATTTGTTTGCAGATTGAAGAAAAGTTTGTATGGCCTCAAGCAAGCCCCGCGGCAATGGTACAAAAAATTTGACTCTTTCATGATGAATAATGGTTTTTTTAAAACCACTTCGGACCATTGTGTGTTTGTGAAAAATTTTTCGGATGGTAAATTTATTATTTTTTTGCTTTATGTTGATGACATGTTAATTGTGGGTCAAGATTCTACCATGATAAACAGGTTGAAATTGGAGTTGAGCAAGTCTTTTGCTATGAAAGATTTGGGACCGGCAAAGCAAATTCTTGGTATGAAAATTGTTCGTGATCGCAAAGAGGGGCTGATTTGGTTGTCTCAAGAAAGCTACATTGAGAAAGTTCTTGAGAGGTTCAATATGGATAAAGCGAAGCCGGTTGGTTGTCCACTTGCGGGTCACTTCAAGCTTAGTTCGAATCAATGTCCTACAAGTGAGAAAGACAAGGAAGAGATGCTGAAAGTTCCTTATGCTTCAGCAGTTGGTTCTTTGATATACCCTATGGTTTGTACAAGGCCGGATATTGCTCATGCAGTTGGTGTGGTGAGTCGTTTTCTCTTTAATCCGGGTAAAGAACATTGGGCAGCGGTAAAATGGATTCTAAGGTATCTTCGAGGGACTTCGAATGTGTGTTTGTGTTTTGGGGATGGTAAGCCGATGCTTGATGGGTTCACAGATTCTGACATGGCCGGTGATGTTGATTCTAAGAAATCTACTTCGGGGTATTTTATGACTTTTGCAGGGGGAGCTGTGGCATGGCAATCTAAATTATAAAAATGTGTTGTTCTCTCAACTACCGAAGCTGAATTTATTGCCATTACGGAAGCTTGCAAAGAAGAGTTATGGTTGAAGAAATTTTTGCAAGAGTTGGGTTTAAAGCAAGAAAGTATGTGCTTTATTATGATAGTCGAAGTACTATTCACTTAAGTAAAAATTCTACTTTTCATTTGAGATTGAAACACATTAATGTGAGATACCATTGGATTCGTGATGTGTTAGATTTGAAGTTGTTGCAACTCGAAAATGTTCACACAGATGATAATGTTTCAGATATATTAACAAAGACTTTGTCGAGGGACAAACATTTGAAGTGTCGAACTTTGGCAGGTATGGTTAATATCTCCACCTAAGTTGGTAGGGGGAGAATTGTTGGGTATACCTCCTTATTGGAGTGTGGGACCCAATTGGTTTGTTAAAGAATTTTAATTTGACTTGGTTTAGGTATAATATATTTTTATATATTATATTTGTGGAGACTCAATTCAATTTGGATACAATTAGGGTTTTGGTAAAACAAATCTAAGATTTAACAATATATATATATATATATTGTTCCAAAGTGCTATATAGAGACATACGGTTTTCATACATCTCGGTGACCGTGCATGTTGATCTTTAATTTGGTGCTTGGTCAGTGCTTTGGATTTGGTTTGTTAATGCTTACTATCTTTGATTCAAAGCTGATTTGGTTCATTATTTTGGATCTTCTACAACTCTGTTTCAGAAGGTTTTCGTTCATCTGTCTGGTGAGGTCTTTCCTCTTGTTCATTTGTGATTATTTAGAATTTACCTAAGAGTGGTTTTGTGAGACCATTAGTGTCTCGTTTGTAATCGTTTGGAACTTTTTTTGGTTGATAGTGGAATCGAATTTTGATCCCGTGGACATACCTTACATTGAGGGAACCACGTAAAAATTCTTGTGTTGCTTCTGATTTAATTTTTCCGCATTAGTTTTTATTCCTATTGATTGATTTACTTGTGGGAATCACATCAATTTTCCCTAACATTATGTTCAATTTCCACTGCCAATACATTGGCTTACCTGATACCTATGACTTTTGGTGGTTGCACATAATTAGGGTTTACACTGTAGGAGTTTGTGCAAAGTGCTTCTGTCTTGGAGGGGTTCCTCGTTATATTTATAATTGCCAGCCATCATGGGGTCATGTTTAATATATTGTTGTTGGGTATGTTATTTCAAGTTTGGTGTCGGATTGAGTGCCAAGGCACCAAATTAAGTCGAACCTCATAGTTTTGGCCAACTGTATTTCCTATTTGTTGATATCGGCATGGCTAAAATTCTAAAGCTTTGTATTTGCATACTTTTTATGTTGTGGCTCAACTTTTGCAAAATGCAACTTAAAGTGACCATCTTTGCAAAATGGTATATTACTAGAAGTGATTATTGTTGCTGTGAATGCACATTTTATGTGGTACAAAATAAGAATGTTGTATAGGCTTGTGAGGATGCTTAAACTCGTATTCTCTTTTGTTTATTGTTGTTTGCAGATTTGTCTCTAACGAGGAGGTCCTAACTTACAAGGACATTGTACTGAGAAGAACAGATTTGGAAATCCTAGAAGGACCTTGTATTAGTGTATATTAGTGCTTGTAATGATGTTAGTAGGTTAGTACTTGTCTTTATTATACATTACTTTAAGTTAGTGTTCGGCTACTTTCGGCCACTTTCCTATTCAGGTTTGTAATCCTCTCCTATATAAGGAGCTTCTAACATTGTTAAAGACACAACATATATAATATCAATAAATACATTATTCTCTCTGTATTTCTCTCTTTATACATTGAATTTAACATGGTATCAGAGCAGGTTTAAAACCTAGTATTTTCGCTTCCCTGGCGAGCGGCAACCTCACCTTAGTCGCCCGCCGGACCTCAACCTATTCCACTTATTTTCTACACATACCTTCCCATCACTGCCTAAATCCTCTCTCCCTCGATTTTGAGATAAAACACACAGAGGGATACACGGAGATGAATTGGTGGTTCTGCATCACAATCTCACCGGGGTCATGCCCATCCTCTGTCTATTCCCATTTCAGTACTTGGAATGGCTTCGTCAGAAACACCACTATTACTAATATTGGTCTATGTGGTCTATATGACAGACTCACACACACACACAACAAAGGAGGACAGACTCACAACTCACCTACTCAGCCGATACCTGGACTTGTTCTTCGGCGGCGGCCGTGTCACCGTGGTGCTTCGCCGTGAGCCAGCATAGTTTCTAACAAATTCCATCTTGGTCACCTCCACTCCACTCTTCACCGCCGATCTAGTCTCCTTCTTGAACGCTGCTCAGACGGCTTTTTTATGCTGTAGACGAAGCAAAGAAATGACTGAACAGTGCGAGATATGAGCAACTTTCAGAGAGAGAGTTCAGTCTTTGCCATCATCAAGAATTTTTCTGGGTTTGTTCATTGATTACTTGAAATTGTGGGTGTTGAAAGATCTAGAAAAGAAATGGCAACATTTGCAGGGACAACCCAGAAGTGTAAGGCATGTGAGAAGACAGTATACTTGGTGGATCAGCTCACAGCTGATAACAAGGTCTACCACAAGGCTTGCTTTAGATGCCACCATTGCAAGGGCACCCTCAAGCTGAGTAACTATTGCTCCTTTGAAGGTGTGTTATATTGTAAGCCTCACTTCAACCAACTGTTTAAGATGACAAGCATTTTGGACAAAAGTTTTGAAGGGGCTCCAAAAACTGTTAAAGTTGACAGATCCGCATATCAGGGTCATACCAACAACAAAGTTTCGAGCTTATTTGCTGGAACTCAAGACAAATGTGTTGCTTGCAAGAGAACAGTTTACCCAACGAGGTGGACGACGGAGTGGAGCGGATGGCGGTGTGGATCAATTTCGTTTCTCAGATCTGAGATCGCCTTCCGGCGCCATTGACAGATCCCACCAAGGTGGACGACGGAGTGGAGCGGATGGCGGTGTGGATCAATTTCGTTTCTCAGATCTGAGATCGCCTTCCGGCGCCATTGACAGATCCCACCAAGGTGGACGACGGACACACAACAAAGGAGGACAGACTTACAACTCACCTACTCAGCCGATACCTGGACTTGTTCTTCGGCGGCGGCCGTGTCACCGCGGTGCTTCGCCGTGAGCCAGCATAGTTTCTAACAAATTCCATCTTGGTCACCTCCACTCCACTCTTCACTGCCGATCTAGTCTCCTTCTTGAACGCTGCTCAGACGGCTTTTTTACGCTGTAGACGAAGCAAAGAAATGACTGAACAGTGCGGGATATGAGCAACTTTCAGAGAGAGAGTTCGGTCTTTGCCATCATCAAGAATTTTTCTGGGTTTGTTCATTGATTACTTGAAATTGTGGGTGTTGAAAGATCTAGAAAAGAAATGGCAACATTTGCAGGGACAACCCAGAAGTGTAAGGCATGTGAGAAGACAGTATACTTGGTGGATCAGCTCACAGCTGATAACAAGGTCTGCCACAAGGCTTGCTTTAGATGCCACCATTGCAAGGGCACCCTCAAGCTGAGTAACTATTGCTCCTTTGAAGGTGTGTTATATTGTAAGCCTCACTTCAACCAACTGTTTAAGATGACAAGCATTTTGGACAAAAGTTTTGAAGGGGCTCCAAAAACTGTTAAAGTTGACAGATCCGCATATCAGGGTCATACCAACAACAAAGTTTCGAGCTTATTTGCTGGAACTCAAGACAAATGTGTTGCTTGCAAGAGAACAGTTTACCCAACGAGGTGGACGACGGACTGGAGCGGATGGCGGTGTGGATCAATTTCGTTTCTCAGATCTGAGATCGCCTTCCGGCGCCATTGACAGATCCCACCAAGGTGGACGACGGAGTGGAGCGGATGGCGATGAAATCTCAAGGCACATACTCTTCTTGACTTTTCTGGAACTTCGACCTCCACTGCAACGTGGTCTAAGCCTACACCTGGAGCCACAATCTCTCTCTCTCTCTCCATGGACCCAACATCTTATCCACTGCCCCTTGTTGAGCTCAGACTCATTATTATGCTTCCCACTCTCCCCAACTTTATTTATTTTATTTTATCTTCTCTTTTCCATTTAAAAAAAAAAACTAAGAACCCATTATCCCTTTTCTCTCCCGAGATTTCATTATTTTAACACTCAGTTCGTGTTCCCACTACTTTCATTTTATTTTATTTTATTTTTTCTATCTTTCTTTTTCTATCAATCTTTCATTATTATACAACTCAGTTGGTGAGTATCATCCCTTTTCCATTACCTTATTATTATTATTATTATTATTTTCTTCTGCCACAAAAAAAAAACAAATATTTCAAACACCGTTCCTAGATTTACCAAAACCGTGGGCCCCGAAACCACGTGAACCACTTTCCTTATTTCCCCACTCTTTCGTTTTGATTTCAAATATATTCTTATTATTTCTTTCTTTATTTTTCTTTCACATTATTTTTAATCCTTTTCAAATTCCATTCATACCATATAGATTTGCACACCAAACCTTGTTTTATTCATCTCAGGAATCTACTTCCATCGCGTTCTCACCAGAGAGTTACAACAAAAAAAAAAAACTGTCATTTCTTCTTGCCGGGATCAAACCCGATCACAATTTTACACACACAAAAAAAAAAAAAAAAAAAAAAAAAAAAAAAAAACACACAACACCCAAAGATTTGTTTTCTGCAGACGGCCACCCACCGACCTCACTTCTTCGCCTCTTCCGCCGGTCTTTTCTTCTTTCCTCCGTCCTGGGCGGCCCTTGTCGGTGTTGCCTCCGTGTTTCCCACGCCGCCGAGCCCGTTCCCTCCCCCCTGCTCCTCCACTGCAGCATATGGCGGACCTCCAAATCGGAACATAAAGGTGGCCTTCCGCTTCAGCTCATTGTTTTCCTCTTTTAGCACACATATCTCTGATCGCGCATCCTTATACATGCGTTGGAGCAGAGCCAGTTGGGCGTTTAACTGCTGCACCTCATTTGTCCTACTCTGAAGCCGGTGCGATAAGTTTGTGACTGCAATCATCGTCTCCACACATGACTTCAATGTATACTGATTGGCCTCAATATCTGATTGCGCTGCCATTATTTGCTCCACAGACCGCATAGGAAAGGTCAACGGAGCAAACTCAGGGGCGCTTGGTTGAGGTTCAAGGGCAACCGCACCAGTTTTCTCTCTTGTGGACTCGTTGAGGTCTGGAAAGAGAATGAGCAGACCACGGGAAGACGAGGCCATGTTATGGGTTGCTGAGTGTTTCAGATGTTACAGAGTGTTTCAGGGTTTGCAGCTCTTAGAGAAAAGCTCTCAGAAAACGAAGAGGTTTCAACTGGTTTGTTATGCTTCCACGCCTCAGGCTTCGCTTTGGTTTATATAGACAATGACGAAGAGGACGACACGACACTCTGTCGGTCACGTGCATCGCCGCGTGTCCGGTGCCCCTTTTGATGGCTCGCCGCTCGAAGATTTCTGTTGGGCACGCCTTTTGATGACACGCCTTTTGATAGATTGGACACGACTTTTGAGGGTGCAATATCTATATCTATATATATATATATATATCTTTTGGGCTCCCACGGTCTGACACGACCACACAGTGTCTGCTACAACGGTCCGGCATGACCCTGTAAACTGTCCCGACATTGATTCCGGTTAGCTCCTCCAACGGTCCGACATGACCCCATAAACTGTCCCGACATTGATTCCGGTTAGCTTCTCCAACGGTCCGACATGACCCCATAAACTGTCCCGACATTGATTCCGGTTAGCTTCTCCAACGGTCCGACATGACCCCATAAATTCCTATTTTATTTTGTTACTCTCTCCAAACTCAAGTTGGTTAATTTTTATCCTCCTTGAGTTTGAGGGGGGCTATTAGTGTATATTAGTTCTTGTAATGATGTTAGTAGGTTAGTACTTGTCTTTATTATACATTACTTTAAGTTAGTGTTCGTCTACTTTCGGCCACTTTCCTATTCAGGTTTGTAATCCTCTCCTATATAAGGAGCTTCTAACATTGTTAAAGACACAACATATATAATATCAATAGATACATTATTCTCTCTGTATTTTTCTCTTTATACATTGAATTTAACACCTTGTTATCTCAATGACCAAATCATTGGATTCTACTTCACTTATCAGTCTTCCTTGTTTACTTCCCAAGATGTCCTACTTTCCCCGCCTTCAGTTTCGTTCTGGCTTGCGAATTGCCAAGATGTTGAAAGTGCCAAAGATTTTGTCAAACCTCTCAAATTGTCCGGAAAGGAATTGGAAGTTTTTACTGTGACGATAATGATGATCTTGGTGTGAGTGAGTGGGACACATTGGAGCCTATTGGTGTATAATAGGGACACAAACACATTTGCACATCATGATAGCATGGATGGAGTAAATAATTTTCATGCCATGAAGCTCTATGAGGCTGTCAAGGGTTTTATGGGCTCTGATGCTGAAGCATCTTCATTGACATCATCATCCTCGATGAATTTATCAAAAAGTAAAAAAATAAAATAAAAAAGGGGGCAGCGGCCAAATCTGTGGGAGTCCTTTCTAGTTAACCGTGATTTATAGAATGCCATACACTACAGCAGATGAATGGATATGATTGTGGACTTTATGTTATGGCCATTACATGAGCAATCTGTAAGTGACATACAAGTAAATGAGTAATGTTAGAGACCCCAAAAGTACTATCAAAATTTCTACCAAATCTCTTATATGAGGGTGGGACCCACACTACGTGGGTTCCATGCGGGTCCCACACTCATGTGAAACATTTGATAGAAATTTTGATAAAACTTTTGAAATTTCTAACACTTTTGCAAGTAAATACAAGGGCAAGGATGACAATTGGTTTTCAGCTGTTGAAGAGCATGTTGATGCTTCTTTGGAGATGACAATGCGAAATGAAGTCATTAGCCTTATTGAAGACCTCAGGGTTGAGAGTTGAATGGTATTTGTTTCTAATTTAGTTCCTCTGATAAAAGATAAAGAATTAAGCCGTTTTCTTTTTCTTTTTCTCATTTTATATTTCTCAGCACATTAACAGAGACTATTGCTATTACTCTTTTCTTATAGAAACTAGTGACAACCTCATCGTACATGAATGACTGTTATTGAGAAAGGCAAAAGAAGAAATTTTTAATTCAAATGATATATTGTAGAGTTCTATGTTTAAAAATGTGCAACTTTGTATGTAATGTCAAATTAATTCTGCCAATGAACTGTTACAGAGGTTTTTTTTTTTTTGGTAATTTAAATTTATTGATAAAATACCCAAAAAAGCCTTAGTATACAAGGATATTCTTAAATATAGTAATGGAGACGTATACTTCACAGAATGTCATATATTTTACTAATAGTTGTTAGTTTTCTGTTTTACTGTTCTCATAAAGCGTAATATTTTCAGTTGATTTCCATGGTAGTTTACTTTCAAAGTGAGGTACCCTTAATTACCATGAAATTGGCATATCATCTAAGGAGATAATGTTTTCATATTGTTATTTTTGTTTTTATTTTTATTTAGCTATATAAATTTTTTCGTAAGAGAAGCCTGACTATGATGATCATTTTGACAAATATTTTTCCACCAAAAACAAAAGTTCATTGAAAAACTGTAGGTCAATCAGGTGGCCCCGAAAGAGGCAAAACAAAAGAGGTTTCTGAGGTTGTTTTGGGCTCAAAATTCCTTGTTAAATTTGCTAAAAAAAAATATAACACTTCATCTTTTTCAAGTTGCAATCATCCAATTTAAGAGGGTTTTAACAATTTATCTCCTAAAAGACCTTCAAAAGTGCAACTGATTCTCTAAATAGCTCTTTTGAGCAAATTACATAAGCTCTTTTGACAAATGAAATACAAAAGTATAATAATAATTATTGAGCAATCAAACTTAACCCCTTTGGCTTGCAATATAAAAAACACAAAACTTAAGTGTCGTTTAGGAAGAGTCAAAATGACTAAATTAGTTACTAAAAGATAAAATAGATTAAAAAATTAATAAGATAAAATATTACATCAAAATTATAATTATTTTATATTTTTTCTCATGAAACTACAAAAATACTAAAAATTCTTCCCAAACGAAATTGAAAACGGGGTAGGTGCTGTCCACAGCACCATGCTGTGACAGCGGAACGGTATTGTTTAACTTATTTCAAAAAGAAAAAATTCGAATCACATGCAAGCTGTCGTCTTGCGTTGCTGTAGAACAATATTTATTTAGGTTGAATTTAGAAAAAGCTATAAAAAGAAAAAAAAAGAAAAAAAGAAACATAAGCCTATCGCCGTTAGTTCTAATAAATTTTTGGAGAAATTGTACCGATATTTTTATATTTTGTTTTTGTATTATTTTAATTCATGTAATTTTAATTAATTTGATTTTGACTATATATTTTTTATTTTGTCCTAATTTAATTTAATTCATTATAATTGTTATTTTTTTATTTATGAAAATGTGCATATGAGTGACACATATCACATAAGGACAAATTTATAAACTTTATCAATTTACAGAGTTAACATCAACTAACTTAGTAATTATTTTTCATCAAAAATCCTAACATCATTATCAATTGACCGAAATTGACACAAAAATCTAAAAAATTAAGGATCACAATTGAGCCAATTGAAAGTATAAGGATCTGTGGGGATATATTTTCTGAGTACCAACATGTAGCAAGGTGACGCCGACATGTCAGCCGAAGTGCCACCTGTCCTGGTCGTGACGCCGAGGTGATCTCGGCAAGGCCGAGGTTATCTCCGAAGATATCAGAATCCGAGATAAGCAGATAATGGATAAGGGGCAAGAGTCCTAGAGTAAAGAGAAGACTT